CGCGCTACGAAACGCTGCTCTTCGATCGCGAGGCGCTCGCTCTCGCACAGCCGAGCTGCGGGCTGTATGAACCCGGCCCGTAGGTCTCGCCTCGTCCCCCTGCCCCGTAAAACCACCCACGAGTGATATCTACAGGGTGTGCCGGAGGAGATCGAATGGCTGCGGATCCACGAGCGGAAGATTGCCGAAGAGCTTCCTTTGACGAAAAAGGAAAACGTCGAGTTCAAAGACAGTCTAAACTCACTCCCACGCTATGGGAAAACAACGCGAAATATATTCCTAAATATTTATATAAAACGAAAGTATTGAATTGAGCGAACCTCAAAAAAAAAAAAAAAAAAAAAGAAAATAATTCTACATTAAATATTGCATTAAAAATAATCTTACAGAAAAATGTTTAACGGAGTATCGAGTTCGGATTCCTAGTCGGTCTTAAGAGAACCTAATTCCCGGCAGAATATTCGCGGATACAATTATCGCATGGTGTGCAGGAAATAATTACGGAACGCACCGAGACGTATCTTTTTTTTTTCCGCGACGCCCTGTAGGCTCGATCGCGGCTAGAGACGAAGGAGGAGAGGGGAGGGGGGAAGAGGGGGCGCTCTAAAAGGCGAGGGCGCGCAGGAGAGAGAAAGGGAGACGCGCACGCAACGCATACACAGGCTCGGTCGTCCACGCAGGGGCCGAGCAAGCCAGCACAGAGTCCGACTTTAAAATTGACTGCGGGTGACCGAGAGAACCGAGCCGAGGTAGGCCGGACCCCTTGACAGCCATGCGAACAAGTCTCGGTCGCGCGATAAGGACCCCGGGAACGTGCGCGCGCGCACTGTTGCTAGCTCGGATCGAAGTCAATTTCAGACTTGGAAGGAAAGAGAGAAAGCCCCGATCTGTGTACGTGTGAGTCTCCTCCCCTAATGCCTTCAACCCCCTTGAACCTCGGAGAGGCTGGAATAATCTAAAAACTAGAAATTCGTTTGCGAGAAATGAGACGAGATCTGGCCCGGAGAACCGCGACCCTTTTCACGGGAAATTTAATAACACTGATAATGATAAAAATATTACGAATTATCCTAGATTATTTTTTTAATATCATTTTCTTCTTCTGTCATTTCATTTCTTGTCGTTGTTATTTTCACCGTGATTTCTTTATGATCTGTCTACTTCGCACGTGATGATCTTGCTTTTATTAGACGGGCGGTTTTGCTGAACTATCTAAAAATTCGACCAGATCTAAAAATAATTTTGTTGAACCATCAAAATGATCATGTAGAATGTTTAAGCATAATACTGCAAAATTTGTTTATATTCTAGCAGCTAATTTCAATATTTTAAATAATTATTTTTAAGGGTCCAACAAAATTATTTTCAAATCTGTGTCTGGTCAAATTTTTCGATACTTCAATAAAATTGTTCTTTCCGTGTAGCGATAAGCTATTTTGCTAGCGTTTTACCTCTTCGGCATACACTTAAATCTTTTCAACATGTGCTTTTTATAATCATCCAATTTACCGTAAACCAATCTTGAATGCAATAAATCACCATTATTCTCAGAGGCGGACAGATAATTTTAAATAATCGACCGTCGAATCAGATGCATGCATCTTTTCCTCGAGCCCACCAGCTCGCCGAGGAAATTCCGAGCGTTACGTTTTATCCGCTTCGTTTTGCATTGTCCGATTTTACAATATCCTACGTAATTCTTAAGCGGAAACGTACAACGAGAGGGAAGAACCGTTTCCGTGACGTTGCTACACCTTGTTTCCTAAAGGCTGGTGTTCCGTGCATGAAACAGCACCTGTACGTCGCGTTGCGGCCGGTTAGAGCCGAGTTACATTACGTTACCTTCGGTCAAACCTTACGAAACATTACGTCGTCTAAAGTCATATGGCCTGAACGTCATGTGTTTACGCGTTCCGATTTCTGTAACAGATCGTTCCGCAACCAGATGTCCCGTGCGTGCACGACAAGCGAGTTCTGAAGTCTAAAGAAACTTGTACAAATTCGTACGATCACGATACTAATTTATTATATGGCTAGTGACCTGATTATACATCACAATAGCGTATGAAATATTAAATAACTTAATAAATACGACACGATGTAATTTCAAATTCTTTTCAAATTCTAATGAAATTGCCGGACCGACTACGTCAGCGTTTCCGATAACAGGATGTCTATTTTGAAATTTGAAAAAAAATTCCTTGATTTTTAAGACAATTTGTTAAACGTTCCAGATAAAATAAAAGTTTTTAATGTATTTTACAAATAAATATATGATTATTGTGTAAAGTCTTTAATATTTTTTCAATTTGTAAAAATGTATAAATAAGAAAATAAAATTAAGAATTATTCGAGTTTCAATAATTAAATTTGAAATTTTTTTTTAATTATAAGAAAAAATTAAGAATTAAATAGTTTATGTTGCGTAAAATTTTCCAACATTATAAAACTATTGAAATAAAAATCTATCTTCGTTAAATAAAATTATATTTAACACGAAATCATTGTCTTCAATACCTAAAGATTTGTATCTTTAAAATGGAGTTTATTCGTTAATAATTCAATCGACAAACTCCTGATTACAATATAAAAAAATAAAATATTAAAAAAAAAAAACAACTTCAAAAAAATTCTCCGATCATTTTTCAAGGTATAAACAAATTCTTTGAGCTTTTAAGTTTTTCCAGGTAGTAGACAGTTCGGGATAATATTAAGGCAATGCATCTTCCATGAAAAATCATTTATCTCGGCACAAAGAGAGTCAAGGGACAAGAGACGCACGTTGATAGCAAGCCGGATCCGCGAATCGAAGGATAGAGGCGTCGGGAACGATATGATGTGACCGAGAAACCAAGTGACCCGGCGATACACACGCGAACATCGGAGAGCTAACGGCGTTCGTCCGCGCCTTCGTGTGTACGTTCTCTTCGTTCCCCGAGTTCGTCGGCGTCCTCCGTGCCGGTAGAACGAGCGAGGAACGGTTCCAGGACGGGGAAGCCGGTGCGTCGGGGCGCGCGAGAATCCAGGTTGCGATCGCGGACACGACGTGGAAAAACCAGACGGCCGGTACACTCCGTCGGTCGGTGCGAGCACCAGCTGGAAACTCCGCTTGTCGCAGCCGCGAGACATCGACAAATTGGCTTCCTACGAAACCTGAATCCGAACCCGTTTCAGACGATCTACTATTCGCGAGCAGAACTCGGGACAACGTAGTCTCCATTGCACGTCTATCCAGGATCTAGATTTCCATTTAAATTGACATTTTACATTCATTTCTAGCTTATCACATTATCATTTTTTCTTTGGTGCAAGAATTACTTTCTTTCTATAAAGATTTGTATCCACTTCCATTGGTACAAAAGGTTTCTTTTGTGCTAATGGAGAAAGGGGAGAACGGACGAATTTATCGAGTCTTCCGTGCGAGTAGTCTTCCGTCGGTAGTCTTCGCAGTGATGACGATAAAAATCGGCCTGATAATTATTCATTACCGCGCCGGAGTACACCGTGGGTTGATTTGATTAATACCCACGTGCGAGTATGGGACGCGAGAGTTCAACTCACCAGCAGTCCGGTTTCCACGCTCGGCAGCAGCGTGAGTCGACTGTCGTTCTGTAGGCCATTTTCCGCGAGCGTTCCTTCGCGCAGCTGCCTGAAATGAGAATATCGAGGATTAGTATCTTTATCGCTATGATCGTCCGAAATAAAAAGGATTGACGAGCAATCTGTCATGCAAAACACATGCCGCAGCTGATATTTATCTCAGAATTATCACTTGGATTTTTATAGAAAATTGACGCATCCTTTCCCCCAACATCATTAATAATTATATATTTAAGTTACCATAGAGAAAATTAAGTTTCTAATCTTTATATATATAAAATCTGTTAATATATAAAAGTATTTGATGTAGCATTAAAAAGATATAATTTTTTTTTAACGAAGTATTATTATCTTCTTATTCTCCTTGGGAGATTCGTTTGTAAAAATATTAATTCCTTTATCGCAAAAGTGCTGCCTATTTATTGATAAAAGTGCCACGTCTCCTACAATAACATCATTTAGAGTCAATAATCGAGATCGTCGAGAAATGCTTTTGCTTTTTACGCGAATCGCTCCGAGTCAATCTTAAGAGATCCCGTGGAATTTATCTGAGAAATTGGTCGCCGCGATATAATGAAATCCAAGGATCCGCTCGTAAAATCGTTATGATCCTCTCACGAAGGAGTTTCTCGTTGCATCTGCTTTCTTGAACACGTTCTCGAGAAGCCTAACAGTCGCGTTATGGTCGCACGACGAGGGAATTGGGACTGGGAAGATCGGCGAATGATTGGGAATATCCCACTCTGAATGAGCGTTAAACGAGAGCTGTCGGAGTTTGGCACTTCGAAAAGCGACGTGAAGAAAGAAAGCGACACGAACGGGCCGCATTGAGGCGAAGGAGAGAAGGGCGGGGGAGTCGGCACAGTCGATGAAAAATACTTAATATGCAACAGCCGACAGAATTGGGTCGCGATCGGCCTCGCCTCGTGTCTCTTTCTCTCTCTCTCTTTCTCCGTCTCTCTCTTTCTCTCTCGACATAAACATCCCGATCTATATATCGGCTTCCCCCGGCTTTCTAAATAAATCGCGACGGACGTAAGTCGCATTCACCTGTCCGAAGTCCGCCGCAGCAGAGACTCGTAGGGAAAAAAAAAAAAAGAGAAAAGAAAAACACGCGATTTATTAAGAGTTCGCGCAAGATCTCACTTTGCTACGTGATTGCATCAGCTTTAAAGCTCGTGACAACTCGCAGAAAATTACCGAGGTAGAATAAATAAAAAAAAAAGAAAAAAAAAGAAAAAAAAAAGAAAAAGGAAACGCAAAGCAGAAAGAGGAAAAGAAAGGAAGAAGAACGTTTCTTACGGCCCCGACTTCGCGTTGTATTTCTGACAATCAAAGTCCACCGCGACCCGGTTCGCACGCACGCCACGCGCTATCGCGAGGCTGCTGATGCAACCGAGCGGAAATCGACCGAAATAAACACGCGTGCGTGTAAACGCGCGCGATAAAAAGTCGTGTTAGAGCAAGCAACGAGCGGAAGCACGTAGTGAGCGCTACCTTTCTTTTTTTTTCTAGATGAGAAGAAAGAAACGGGGAAGGGAGGGGAAGGGGGCAGTAAGATCGGAGTGCAAGTACGCATAAATGGGGCAATGTTATCAAGTCGGCAAAATTCTTATCTACGACATTGTCTTCTGTACTTTAAACGGAATTTTCTCATTCACTCTGGCTCGCGTATGACGTAATTACGTAATCACTCAACTTTAACCCCGTACGATATAATTAGGGCGAATTGGATCTATATGCAACATTCAATTTAATATAAACAAGGACAACCATAAATAACCCTTTCCTTTTCTATTTCAGATCTACATCATCACTTTTTTTCCTTCTTTCTTTTTTACACCTTGAAGTCTTTTTAGCCTGACAATAAGAAGATCGTGTACCGAAGTGACTAAAAATACATCATTATCGACTTGTTAGACTGTTAAAGTGTTTTATCTACTCGCAATTCATTTCAGCTTGTCGTTTTCGGCAATATTTTGTATTCCAGCGGAAATATATGTGGGATTATCGCGATAACGCGTGATAGCTTGCCACTATCGATTGATACGTGCGTGATTACAACGCGACCGCGTGCGCGCACACACACACACGCAACAAGACAATAACGCGAGTTGCAATATATAAATCCACGGCCTCGGCTTGACGGTGCCGCGATAATGCGATCGCGATCGTACTTGGACTAGTGCTATAATAAAAAAAAAAAAAAAAAAAAAAAAAAAAAAAAAAAGAAGAAAAAGAAAGAAAGAAAGAAAGAAAAACATCATCGTGATAAGAAAACGCCGACCCAGAAGATTAGACCGCACGACTCCCGGCAACGTTGCTGGATAACGCCGACCGTTTCCATTGGCAACCGCTCGTTGGACCTCGGATCGAAGAAACGAGACCTTGCTGCGTATAAATACGACGGCGTTACTCCGATTTACGCTTGATCCTAATCGGGGCGAGCACTATTAAAATCGATCCCCGCGAACCCATATTTAACTAACGGTAAAAATACCAAGTTAAGTTAGTAGTGCATTTTACAAATTTATGCCGTGCTGAAAAAGGTCCGACCGCAGAGAGCGGGAATTTTAAGAAATTAAAAGAAATTTTAAAAAATTAGATTAAGGAATTTAATTAGGGGCATACTCGAGGGCGTGCTATCGAGTATGCATGTGAAATTTTTTCAGTTCACCTAATTAAAATTCCTTAATCTAATTTTAAAAATTTCATTTCTTCGTCTTTAATTCCCCCTTTTTTTTTAATACACAACACATCCCGTGCGTTCTCATCCCTCCGCGTAATTAAACTGAAAGGTATAATTAATTAATTAGAAAACTATATGTTTCAGAATTTCTCCATTTAGAGAAAACATCTTACCGTTCCAGCGAACAGTCTTGAAATCGTCTTCGCGAACTGCAGGTTCCGCGTCCGTTGTTTAAATCATGCGATTTTATTTTATCGATTTTGCCGAAAGAAAAAACTCGTCCCACTTTTCGCGTGTATAAAAAAGGCGGTGTACGATCCCAGAAACGGAATCAGGGCCAAAGAAGCGAGACGGAGCGCATGTTTCACGGCGAGCCGCGCACGACGGTCTCTAACGTCATCGACGAAGGCGTTCGAAACGCGCTCCGCTCCGTTCAGATATAAACCGAGGCGGGGGACGAAGATGACGAGCGACGCTGCCCGTGCCAAACCATCTCATGCACACGCGTGCACCCGGGTTATTGTACCCTTAGGCCATTCCTCGAGTGCCAAAAGCCCCGTTCGTTATCTCGAGCCTGACGAATGGCCGAACCTACACACTCATATTCCTCGATCCTTAGTCACCGGAGCCAGGAAAAAAGTTTGGGCGTAGCTCGGCCGTGTTTCTTCCCCCTCCCCCCCTCTTTATCCACCGCGCCCCCTTATCGCGCAGCCCCCGCGTCCAGAGCGGTTTCTTGCTCATTTATTCACCGGCGGGTATTTACCGGCGATGCACGAGATGGAGCCGGGACCAACAGCTGTCGATGAATGCCAGGCTGATTAACGCGAGGTCAAATCGTATTTCGATCGTCGAAGTATCATCTGCCTGTTCATATTTTACGAATTCGAGGCGAAAACATTCCTCGATCTCGATCGCTCTTATCGTAAATCGCGTCGAGTCCCCTCCCGGAGTTCCTTTCAAGCTCGGCTTTTAAATAAAATTCAAAAATCAAAGCCAAATGTCGAAAGCGAGACATCGGTCATCTGTTCGGATGGACGAGCGCTCTCGTTACACTTCTGCGTTCCGGTGCAACCGACACCGAAAAATTTTACACCGCGCAGGGTAAACCGTCCCGTTATCCACCCTCAACTGCACTTGAGCAACGTACCCGATCACATTGGGAGATAGATAGCACTCTCGTTTTCCTTCGACAGCGAGCGGCCACGACGATTCCCATTGCGAAACACCGCGTGCCGGCACCGGCACGCAGGATCGTTACCGATCAACAAACAAGAGTCAAGGAGGGGGAAAAAAAAGGGAGGAGAGAAAGAGAGGGAGGGAAGGGAAAAAGGCGAAACTCCACGGCCTTGGCGAATATGCATCTTGCGTCGATCATGATCGCTCGGGAGATATCTTAGACTTAGATGTATCCGCAAAATGTATGTTACTTGGAACTGACACTCGTTTTAACTCTTATTGTTTCGTGATGGTTCAATGAATCTGATACTCTTATTAAAAATTATTCTTTCATAATTTGCTTTTTCTATTGTTTCCTAATGTTAATCATCTCCGTTACTTTGTTCACCTACATCGGATAGAAAGGAACATTGTTATTTTTAAAACTCTCAGAATGTCTGAGAAATAATAAAAAAATATAATATTCAATTCTCGGACTGTATTTCAAAATATAACAATCAAAATTGTTATTTTTCGAAATTTTTTTTAGATAAATCTTTTACGGAGATCATTTGACTTCATGAATGAAAAAATGCTGAATGATATACACGTGAATATTTAAGAATTAATGAAAAAAATCCAGCAAAAGTTAACAAAATTACGTTTCGAAAGCGACATGCTTACAGTTTCAAAGTATCAGCATTTATTACCAACTGTTCACCTCTCGTTCCTTCTTTTGTATGCAAAAATAATGGCGATATTGCCACCCGTTAGCAAATATTAAGCATGCGTCACACGCATAATCGGAAGCGACGTGTGTCGATTAATGCGCGATTCAAAATGATTGCGAAAACAAGCAAATATTCCCACGTCGGCATTTATGGCTTGTATCCCGCGAATAAATTTCACGCAATTAAATTTTGTGATAGCCCGCGCGAGATCCTCGCGAGAGAGGATTAATAGATCCGATTATCTAATCCACGCATTAATTGTGCAATTGATTGTGTAATGATTTAGCAACTGCACGACGATTTAGTCAAACTCTGTTCGGTAATAAAGACCGAATATATATATACACCCGAAAACAATTATTGAAAAATTATAAATTACGCAATAATTATATCTATTGAATAATTATATCCATTATGAAAGTTCAGCATTGAAAGTTTCAAATTCAGTTGCATATAATTATATTTCATTATTGT